CATAATTATTTTGACTTCTTTGGGTTATTGAGAGATTATAGAGTATATGTGTGGGAGGGGCTCAGTGAAAAGAATACTTAACAGACATAAGAATGTAAAGTTCTTGGGGGCCAGCAGGTAGTGTCGTGGTTGAGGTGCTGGATTCCCACATGGCTGACCATAGTTTGAGTCCCAGACCTGGTGGCTTACTTTCTCACTTTCCCTCTCTCTCCCTCTCTCTCTATATCTCTCTTTGGCAAGTACATATACTCTTTAGCAAATTAAAAAATATATATTAATAATAAATAAAATTAAATTAATAATTCTTTTAAAAAGAATAGTGTAAAGTTTTCTGTTGAAAATGATGTATATGGTAACATCCTTGATTTGATTATCATAAACTGTATGCATATCTTGAAAAACCATATTGTATGCTTTAGAGATGTAAAACAATTAAATATGAATAAGAAATCATGAAATAAAGCAAAAAAGGTACAAACATAAAAATAAACCATAATTCCCACACCTGAGTATACCTATAAAAAAAGTAAAAGAAAAAACAAAGAAAGAAAATACATTCCCAGTGCCAGGTGTACAAGTATTCTGTCAATGGTGGTTTCCTCCATTAGTCAGTCCTGTGTACGTTTTCAACAATGCTGACATAGGGTAGAGCATAAACTTGCCATAGAATCTAGATGATCTTCATATGCGCTGTTGGATGAGGGGATATAAAGGCAATTGTTTTACAAAACCTTTTGAAGCTCTTGCTCTGTGCCAGGTATAGTTCAAGATTCATTGTAAATTGTTATAATAATTTTGCAAATTAGATGCTATCTCACAGATGAAGAAACTGAGCCACTGAGATAGTATGTTGCTTAAGGTGACTCAGCTATTAAGACCTGGTGTTCCAGAGCGTTTGACTCCAGAACTTGGGCTTTGAGCCACCATGACATCGAGGCCTGGGTGAGAGAAATCCTGGTATCCAAGTCATTAACTTGCCCTTTGGGATCAGAAATGTTAAAGATTTCCTTTATTACCTAGAGAAGTCCTTAACTTCTAGACTTGCTGGAAGTAGCATTTCTTGACTATGACATTATTCTGTTGTACTCACAAGGGTCCCCCAGATGACCCTGGGAGAAATTGAAGAAGAGAAAGGAGTGAGATTAAGTCTGGGACAGACTCATTGAATCTGTTACATCACACCAGAGAGTCCCAGGAGTGGTCTGACTGCTGTGGTATCCATAATAGGAGCTTAGTAAGAGCATCAGAAGTATGCTGGAGGAAAGAGTGCATTCACAAGAGCTGGCCAATGTTTGCTTCTTTGGCCCAACACAGGAGCCCCTGCTCTGACTCCTATTTGATGGGAGGTGAAGGGGCATCATGGCAGAAAAGACAGAGGCATCCTTACTCCCTGTGCCCTAGTACATTGTAGTCACAGTGCTTATTTCCTTGGCTGTGTCCATATGGGTTCTATGGGAGGAGTAGGAGCTGTGTCTTCGTGTTCACTCTTATGTCCCAGGTCCTGGCGCAGTGACCGACACACATTGGGTAAATGGATCATGAGTGAACAACTTACTGAAGAACAGGCTGACTGTCGGAGGACGGTCTCCTCCTTTGTAGTGGCACATTAGATATTCACATTCTATTGCTGCCACTGTACGGACTGTGATGGAGACAGGATTTCGGAAAGGGGTCTGTGGAAGGAGGAGCTCAAGGAGCTGTGGGGCCATAGTGCATCTGAATGCGCCAGGTGCAATGAAGAGTGTAACAACCCATTGTTACTTGGAGTGCAACAACCCATTGTTACTTGGAGTGTTTGCTGGAAAATGACTACCTCCTTTCTGAACACCCTTCCAAAGGTGCATATAGACCTTCTGAGACATGCTTTCCCAATTTTTTATCCACCATCACTACCTATATGATTTGATGTAACATAAATATTACCTATATGTAAGAATAATGGGTAAGGCCCATTAATCTAAAGATCTAAGACCTAACATGTTTCTGCTTTTTCAGGGTTTAGAGGAGACATGCAGAAAATGGGTTGTTCTTGGCCTCGTGTTCCTTCATTATTTCTGACAAATAGCTTCATATCCTCAAGTCCTCTTGGCCCTCTGATTAAATGTGATTTTGGGCTCTCAGCATCTTATTTTTCCAACTTAACCATGGGCTCTTTGAGAGCTGATTCTGACACAGCCGAAGACATACATAGAGAAAGTGATTAGTAAATACTTGTTGAATGATGGACCATGTTTGTATACTTAATCTGTGTTGGGCATTTGCAAATACGATATTCCCAAGAGGGTGGCAAGGACTGGTTTCTGAATCATTGAGTAAATGAAAAGCTCCCAGGAGCCTTGGGATCTCTAGCCTATATGCTCGATCAAGTTCCATCTTTTTTTTTTTTTTTTATTAAGTTTTTTCCTATAGGCTGCATGTGCTCACTAGAGAGACATAGACAGAGATGGGAAAGTGAGAAATCTTCCCCGAGGTGAGATGGTGACTCTACAATCCCTTCTCTGCCATGCTCTTTCTGGGATTTGGGGCACACATGCACATGTACACAGTGTGAGTTTTAAGCTGCTGGATCCGAGAATCAAATTGTGGTCAGCCATGCAGAAGTCCTCACCTTAACCACCATACCACCTGCTAAGATACAGATAAGACTCCACCTCTTAGTGCTGCAGAAACACCTTTTTGTATTGCTGATTCCAGATGACTTGATTTTAAGGTTATTCTTTTGTTTTGTTTTTATTTGAGAGGTTTTCGCTATAGGGCACATGCGCTCGCCAGACAGACAGAGAGAGACATAGAGAGAGAAAGCGAGAAATCACTCCCCAGGAGGGATGGTCACGCTGCAATCCCTTCTCCTCCATTCTCCTCTCGGGATCTTGGGCTTGCACACACACGTGCCTGGTGTGAGATCTAAGCCACCGGGTCCGAACCGCGGTCGACTACGTGGGAGTCCAGCGACATAGCCATTACGCTAACTGCTGGTTCCCAGGTTATCCTTCTAAAGATGGGTGCCAACACTTCTCTTCAGAATTGTTACCCTCTTCTCTTTCTTGTCTTCCTTTATTACTAGTACCATTATTTTTAATTCACAAGTCTATTAGAGCTTGCCTGCAGTATAAAAGATGACCAATAGGTGCCGCTCTCTGAATAATTTTACTGCCGGCATAGCTCAGCATTTCTAGAGCTGAGCAGACCTAGGGGCTTAGAACCCAGAGGTTTAACTGGGTAAACAGAATGTGCACTTAAGTCAAATTTTTTTTTTTTTTTGGAGAGATTTTCACTGTAGGGCGCGTGCGCTCGCCAGACAGACAGAGAGAGACATAGAGACAGAAAGCGAGAAATCTCCCCCCAGGGGGGATGGTCACGCCGCAATCCCTTCTCCTCCATTCTCCTCCCGGGATCTTGGGCACGCACGCACACGCGCCCGGCGTGAGTTTTAAGCCACCGGGTCCGGGACACGAACCGCGGTCGACTACGTGGGAGTCCAGCGACATAGCCATTACGCTAACTGCTGGTTCCCAAGTCAAATGTTTTTTTTGAAAATAAAGTCAGGCCAGAACCGTTAGAGCAAACCTTCTCAAGGTTCACAGGAGAACTGCCTTACAATTACCAGCCCTACTTGTTAAAGTTTTGGTTTCCTGAGCTCTAAAGTAGATGTGTAGAATCACACTCAATAGGGAAAGCAACATGAAATCTGCACGGTTTTTTGTTTTGTTTTTATTTATTTATTTTTTAATTTTGCCAGCGGTTACATGTATTTGCTGGAAAGAGAGAGAGAGAGAGAGAGAGAGAGAGAGAGAGAATGAGAAATCACCTCCTATAGGGAATAGTCACACTGCGATTCCTTCTCCTCCATTTTCTCCATCCTTTTGGGATTTGGGGCATGCATGCATACGTACCTGGTGTGTTTCTCCACCCACTGGGTCTGGGATTTGAACCATCGCATCAGCCATGTGGTATCAACTGCCTTTACTACCATGCCATGGGCTAACTCCAGAAATCAGCATTGTTTTACAAGTTCTCCAGGTGATTTTTATGTGCACTAAAGTTTCAGAATCATGTAGCATTTTCACAGTTCTTCAGCAAGAGGTAAATTGGCACACTGACGGGAGTTCAGCACTAAGGAGGTGAAGACAGACAGGTTTGAGAAATTGGAGAGTTTAATATATATATATATACATATATTATATATATGTATATATATATATATTAAAAAAAACAGTGCCCTACTTTTTCTTTGTAAATTGTATGTTGAAATGCAAGGTATATTTGAAGAAAGTTCTGCTTAAGATGGAGCCAGGGAAAATGGAAGGAGGAGAGGGAGCAAATAATTAGATAAGTAAAAGTTTTCTTTTTTTTTTTAATTTTCAGTCATTTTCCTCGACAGTGTGGTATCCATGGCCACCAAACAGAGCACCTATAATAAGTCACTGAAGCTTATGGAGGAGGTGGTGAAGTTTCATTCTTTTGTGGTGCTTATTAGTCATTCAGTGTTTATTCAGCTTGTGTTGAAGGAGAATTTGCTACTCAGGAGCTTTGGAAGTCAGGGGTCATCCCTTGCTCCCTCCAACCCAATTTTCTATGCAAGAAGCATCTGCTTTTTCTGCCTAATTGGAGGCACCCCACCTCCTGAGTGACACTGGAGTGACCTGTCATGGAAGCACAACGAAAGTGCACAGAGAATGTGGACAAGTGTGCAAAGACCTGGGCATGAGGGAGGGACGGGGCAGGGGTGTGTGGGGAGTTGGCTATGCAAAGAGCATCTGAATGGGCTCAGAGAACAGCTCTGCCTTTGAACATCCTCTCTGCAGAATACTGACACCTCCCTTCACTCTGTTTTTTCCTTACTTTTACATCTTGTCTCCCCTACTTGTCTGTCTTCCAAATCTCCCACCTCTTCAGTTTTCGTGAGTGACAGGAGAGAGGGTCAAGGAACCACCAATTTACTTGCACTTAAGAAAGTGCATCTGCCATGTAATGTGAGAAATGTTGTGGCTTCATCAGGGATGACGGAGCTACCTGACTGTGGGCTCTTAACAACTCCACGAAGAAGAACAGAAAGGGGGAGATTGACAACCCTGCAGGGGCTCAAGGCTGCTGTGTGTAGGGTCCCTCTCAACACAGGGCCAGGTCACAGGTTGTCCTAGGTTCTGTGCACCCCAGGGTGCTGCTGGCTGTTTCTATTTCTGGAAACATTTCAGAAAGGTATCTCAGGACT